GTTTATATTAAAGTTTTTTAATTACCCAGTCAAGCCGTCTCAAAACTTTTATTTTCTAAAAAGTGGGTTCCTTGTTATAAAGTCTACATAATTAGAGGTGATGAAGACATATGATAACTGACACACAGTAATGAGTAGTAAACCAGATGATCTGTTACTTGTTTTTTTTTTTTGTTTGTTTCATTTTAAACAGCTTATCAGTTGAATAATTCACAAGAATAAATTAATAACATCAGTGCTGCATATTCTTAAATTTCCTATATAAATAGGATATATAAGTATGTTAAAAGACATCTTAAAGTACCATACATATGATAAATAAACTCTACCACTTATTCTTCCAATTTGCCCTTGTCATAAGTTACAACTCATTGACAAGTGCTAAATCAAATGATACATTTGGCTCCACATTGATTTTTTGGAATTCTGATTTCTTGCAAAACAATTAAGTGTAATTCCATCTTGCATTTGCCCGAAGTTGGGATGAATATAACACTTAATATATTTCTTTCTTGATTGAACTTGAATACTTGAACATCGTTCTTGCGAAGTTCTTAATTTATCCTTTCCAAAACAATACTATTAAAATAATGATAACGCGATTTTAAAGCACGTGCAACAAATACACTTGCTTTTGCTAACAATAACAAACAACAGATAAACAACAGCGAAACAACACTTGATTCAAATTTTAATCAATACAATAATGTTTCGAAATCACTTATCAATTAAGTCTATTTTTACGATTCAATTTTAACGCCAACGCAATTTGTAACTGCTAGCCGTAGTAATACTAGTACAGTTATTTAGGTCATGATCGGGCATTGTCCTCGTATTGGCCAATCACGAACCACCTCACATAAAATGGTGGTAATACGTCATAACTATCTTTGACGTTTCATTGCTACTAATTAGCGTTAGGTCCTTTAGAAAGGTTTTAAACGAAACTAACTGTTTGGGTGAAGAAATATATTGCATAAATATAATTATATTTTAAAAATTGTTTTATTACAAACAGAGTGACTAATGTATTGGTACCAAAGCCAATGTCGAGGTTGAAGCTATGCGAGGACGCTTCCTACATCATGGCGTCTACACAGTAGTTAATGCTAAATAAGGAAAACAAAAACCACGCAGTCAGTTAAAATTTAAATAGGAAATAATACCACTCATTAGAATATTTGTTAACAAAGTATTACCCATAAAACAAACACAGCAGTTTAATTTTAAAATTTAGTTTTCATAACAAAATAAACCTGTACATACCCTTCAAACGTAACCCCAAAATTGAAAAAATGTTTCTTTGTAGACTTCTACACTTATAATCTAACACAAAGTAAACGTTCGTCAACCAAAAACAGTAATTTTGTCGTACAGCAAAAGATTATTGGTTAGGAGCGCCATCTAGAGTTAACGAGTTTTGTTGTTTAGTACAATACAACTGTAAACAAATGTAAACACTAGACAAAACAAACATTAAATGTAAACAGTTAAAATTCAAATTCGACTATATATTTATTAGCAAGCATTACATATGTAAGGTATAAAAAATATAATATAAACCCAATTGAGGAAGAAGTGACAATTCTTAGTTTCATTACCTATATCTTACTTTTGATTTGATTTTCTGTTATTTATAACACGATAAGTAAATAATTATATCACAAGTGTTTAGAACTGTAAATAATTCAAAAATTGTTGAGTTTAATACAAAAACAAATCACTTGAAAACACCAAAGCAACGTATTTAAACTGTATTCAGAAGAGTAACAAATTGAATAATTAATAACCCGTCTCTCTTTATTATTCACCAAAATGACGGAAATTACATGCAGGGCTGTAAGAGTACTTTTGTACTGTGGGAGAGGAGAGGAGCACCAAAAACTTCACAGTTCATAATATTATAACATTTTTTAGTTGTATTGTCAAAGCATCATTGATTATAGTCATAATACCACATTTAAATACAACCAAGAATATAACACACATAGATTATACTTTACTATTGCCAAAAGCAATACATTTAAGCGATTATTAAAATATATAAATAAGTTTAAGTACTTAGAATATATATATATATACATGATTATTTTAAAATGATACCATTATCTGGATTTGCTAAAAAACAAATAACATTGGAAACCTTTTATAGATAAACCCTGGGTAGTTTTTACAATTTTTTTTTAAATGCAATTCTTGCAAAAAATACATTATTCATGAGTTATAACATAGTCAGTAGTAGCTTGGTTCTATAAATGAATACAAATCATTAATGTCTTGTTTCAGTAGGATGAAATTTAATGCAAACCAACCAAATGTAAGGATAGGAGCTATAACATTTCTTTGGCTTTAAAATACCGCCACAGTAATAATAATGTTTATTTATATATTTTTACATAGCCTGTTGTTTAGAAATTATTGGAGGGGCACGTGCCCCCTGGCCCACCTAGCTCCTACGCCCCTGACATGAGAAATATTCGAGAGAAAATATCAGTTACCATAATGTTTTTTCTGAGTTCCTCGAGGGTGAGCTAAAAACAGGAAATGTCAAATCAAATAAATCGTTGTGTGTTTCCAAATCCTCGCGGAAACGCTTCTTGTATGAAATGAAATTGTAATAATATTTCAATTGAATTATCATATCAATAATAATAACGAGTTAATGCTGTGAACAACAGTATCATTAACACTAATTTGGTAAAATTAACAACTAAACATTGTTGTCCTTTGTAAATTTCACAAAATATTCCATCTTTTGTTTGAAGTTTGTTGAAAATAAACTTGTTGAACATTTAAACTTTTATGGTACCGGTCTTTTTTTTTTCTTCTTAAATAATTGTTTCACGGCTAGCAAGTTAAATCGTTAAATAATCCAATCCGTTGTGAGAAATTGTATTTACATAAATCTTCAACTTCATTGTTAGAAATTGTGTTAATTCCTTCTTATGAAATACATAAATCACGAGTAACTTGAAGATAATAACACCGTGCCGTCTTCACGAGCACTACTATCCAGCAAGTTAGGCAAAAGTTTCCACAATGGGGCAAGTTTCGGAAATGTTATGTAGAGAATAAACTGAACAACGGATAGAAAAAGAAGAACAAGCAAATCTTTATTCACAAGAAGGTGTAAGGCCTAACACCAAAATAGGCTGGGTTTTTACTTTTTACGGTGACATCTCAGAGATTGGTGGGAAAGGAGAAGCTTTCTAACACTGGTACATCCGGTTAAGACAACAACAGCGAAAATAATGTTGCACGGCACGTTCAATTCAGACGAAAAGGTATTGGTGTGGTATTCCATAATCCATAGGTTACCTACGTAAATGACTATTACAAATGACATATTCAAGAGAGAAACCCCACAACTCACACCAATTTATACAAGTATCTGTGTCACTCCTTAAAATAGAACTGTCCTGCCAAAGGGAGTGCACACAGATACGGGAGCAAATTAGTACAAGCTGCTATGAGATATCCGTTGCTTTAGTAAAAGAATTAATGCGTGTTTACAACCTTTCAACATCTGGTTAACATGAATGTCAAAACTACCTGGGCAACATCTGCTTATAAACTTAGGAAACATTACCTTGATATACTATTGTAGGATTGTAGGTTATATTTTTAATATTTTATTTGATACGTTTTGTTTGATAGAGGGAGTTATAACATGGCGTGATGATTATGTGTGACGTTTGAAAGCTTCCTGAGTTCTAAAACTAATGTAAAGTGATAAGCACATGAAATCTAGAATTTTCTAAGCCTAGAGTAAAATACTTAAACTTCAAAATTAGTGCATTAAAGATAATACATTCAATTACCAATCAGTCAGTTGGTTAATTAGTTAGTGATTCTGTTATCAGATATATATATATATATTCTATATCACTTATAGAAGGATAAAATTAACAGTTAATTCAACTGCGTTATAGATGCAGCAATAATTAATGAACAAACAGAGAATTTTTATTTTCCTACAGAGACAACAGAAAAAACAATTAATAACAACATTGCATATTCGAGAATCTCTGTCTAACAAAGATCCTCCACACCACATTTTGAGAAAGATAATGTAATTGTTGCTGTGTATATAATGTCATGCTCTCTCAGTCTAGTTTGGTTTGAATTTTGCACAAAGCTACTTGAGGGATATCTGTACTTCCCGCCCCTAATTTAGTAAGGATAAACTAGAAGGAAGGGAATTAGTCAACACCACCCATTGCCAAGTTTTAAGCTACTCTTTTACCAACGAAAAGTGGGATTGACCGTCACTTTATAACGCTCTCGCGACTGAAAGGGCGAGGATGTTTGGTAAAGGGAATTCAAACCCTCGACCCGCAGATTGCGAGACGATGGCTCTAACCACCAGGCCATGCCAAGCCCTGTCAGTTGTATCAAATGGCTTATATAAATAGTTTTCCGACCACTGCTATGTCTGTTGTATCCCAGCCGGCCCGATGAGCTCTAGAATTAGCGAAACGAGCCTTTGGCAATGGAGACAACAACTATAGTGTTGTTGAAATATTATCATTATACTTCTAATTCTTAAAAGTCTCTAACGAAGTAAATTAAGAATGTAGTGTTTAAAAATACCATGGGCTTAATATTAGTGTCTTATAACACGTAAAATTGTATAAATTCTTCGCTGGTTTGTAAAAGGCATATACACCATAACAATTGTTGATGTAAATAATTATTTGAAATAAGATATACACTCTCCAAACAATGATATAATAACAACAATGTTTGAAAGTTTCATTATTAATTTTATACTAGTTGCTGTAATGTATAACAAGAAACTTAGTTTCAGGTCAACAGTTTGATAACTCGAATAATTTAGCGTCCTCTATCCCACTATGATCGGAGATAAGCGTAATATAACGATCGAATTATTCGTGTTAGGAGTTTTACTGAACAATTTAATCCTCCATTGCGTGAATTATACAAAAATAACATAAAAAAACGGAAAATGCTTTATTTGAATTTCTTACTTAAACAGGTCTATGTTGCACAACAAATGTTTTAGTCAAATATACTTTATTAAGTTATAAATGTGTACCGAGAATAGCATTGTTCACTTGAGAAACCAAGAAAAAAAAAAAATCCATGGTTTAAATGGACAGCAACTGCCTGTTGTAGAAACCTACAAATGTAGAGGTCGACGTTTCGAAAGTCTTCCGCCTTTCGTCTTCAGGCCTAAACAACCTATCAAAGAATCCATGATTTGTTTAGAATTTTACTTGTTGACTGTGAATTAGAAGTAAGAGCACTGAATTACAGAATTGAAGCATTTAATTCGTATGTGTAATAAGCAATAAATGTAGAGTATTATAATTTTTTTACTTGTATGATACAATGTGCAATAGAGTGTTAGGCCTAACGTGTGAAATATTAACCGTTTTTTTGCTATGCGATTTATTTCAAATTGGTAATAACAATAATAATCTGACAGAAAGTAATAAAATGAAGTTTTGTGTTTTTCGCATTGAACAAAAAAATATAAAAAAAGGTTACTGAACCAAACGCCTCTGAAACAATGACTTGTTGGATAAAAAAAAGATATATATGAAATGCTATTTTTACGCGCCTCTGATTTTGATTTAAAATTTGAGTCTCCAATAGACAAATTAAAAAGAATGTGAAAAACAAACAGCTGCAGTTAATATGATTTTTATCACCGATTTTAGGCTTATTAGTTTCCAATGTTTCGCCAGCTTTCGGTGTTTAAACCTTAACTTTTAAAACTTAATCTTATAAGTTTATTTTTATCAAGGGCGTTCTTGTCTCTGGTTAAGTCCTGTACCGAAATGATCACTATAACTCTTGAAGCGCTGTTAAACGTTCCAATTTTAGCCGCCAAAGTTAATCACGGTAAAAAACAAAACAAAAAACATTACACGGAGAACATTGAAGCGAAGCAAGTGGTATTGGAACTCATCCATTTTGAAATGCTCAGTAAATATACACACCTTCATGCTCCAAGTTCAAAACAAAATAATGATCTTATTTCTTGTTGTGTTTTCATCTAACTTCCACTATCGATGGAAGTTTTAACTGTGTGTAAGATGATACACCCAATAAGTTCTCTAAATAGTCAAATATGCTCCATCTTTTTTATACATACAATGAACATCCTGAAGTGAAAATTAAGAATATCAACTTTATAATAATAATAGCGATACAGCAGGTTCCATATAGTATCAGTTTATTCAATGATAATTTAATATACATTTTATGTTTGTAAATAAGCACAAAGCTACACAATGGGCTATCTGTGCTCTATCCACCACGGGTATCGAAACCCGGATTCTAGCGTAGTAAGTCCGCAGACATACCGCTGTGCCACTGGGGGACTAATATATATATATATATATAAAGGAAATTCTATATATATA